TCACTCTTGATCTTTCTGATACAAATTCTTTTGTCCCAAAGTGGATATTTGGACTGAGGAAACTTGTTTCTCTTCAATTAAGAGAAAATAACATTCAAGGTCCGATTCCTGATGGTATTCAAAACCTCACACTTCTTCAAAATCTTGACTTGTCTATAAATTCATTCTCGTCTTCTATACCTGATTGGTTATACGTTCTTCATCATCTCAAGTTCTTGAACCTAGGATCGAATGACTTGTGTGGGTCCATTTCTGTTGCCCTGGGAAATTTGAGTTCTCTAGTTGTTCTTGATTTGTCAGGTAATCAACTTGAAGGCAAAATTCCAACTTCTTTGAGTAATCTTTGCAATTTAAGGGAGATAGGTTTCTCAGGTTCGAAACTCAACCAAGAGGTGAATGAAATTTTAGAAATTCTAGCTCCATGTGTTTCACAGGGACTCACCAAACTAGAAGTTTCAGGTTGTCAATCTCTCCAAAAATCAATTGGATGGAAATCCATTTGGAATTCTTAGATCCTTCTCTGAATTGTTCCAACTTTTAATTGATGGCAATCTATTTCAAGGAGTTGTCAAGGAAGATGACTTTGCAAATCTTACAAGTTTAGAACAGGTTGATGCATCAGGGAACAATTTCACTTTAAAAGTGGGTCCCAATTGGCACCCTATTTTTCAGGTTAGCGAATTGGGAATGAACTCGTGGCAGTTAGGTCCCAGCTTTCCCTCATGGATTCACTCACAAAAGTATCTTAATTATTTGGATTTGTCAAACGCAGGGATTTCAGATTCTATCCCCTCTTGGTTTTGGGAAACAATTTCTTTTGTTAGTGATCTTAACCTATCTCACAATCATATCCATGGTGAGCTACCAAATATTTTAAAGAATCCAATATCTATCGAATCTGTTGATCTAAGCTCTAATCACTTGCATGGAAAATTACCCCGTCTATTTGTTGATGTGAGTTGGTTAGATCTTTCAAGCAATTCATTCTCTGGATCCATGAATGATTTCCTATGTAAAAGCCAAGACAAGCCAATGCCATTACGATTTCTCAATCTTGCAGCAAATAATTTATCAGGGGAAATACCTGACTGTTGGATAATGTGGCCAGACCTTGTGGATGTGAATTTACAAAGCAATCATTTTGTTGGGAACTTACCCCCATCTATGGGATCCTTAGCTTTGCTACAATCTTTGGGCATTCGTAACAACTCGTTATCAGGAATGTTTCCTGCCACTTTGAAGAACACTAGTAAGTTAATTTCCTTGGACCTTGGGGAAAATAGTCTTACTGGAATTATTCCAGCATGGGTTGGAGAAAGGCTCTTAAATTTGAAAATTCTTCGCCTTCGATCAAACAGATTTTTGGGTCATATTCCTAATCAAATATGTGATATGAATTTTCTTCGGGATTTGGACCTTGCACTAAATAGTTTGTCTGGAAATATACCGAAATGTTTCAACCACTTGAATGCCATGTTGCTAAAGAACAAAACTATGAATTCATTTATCTATACCAATGCATCTGACTGGGGGATAGAATTCAGTTCAATAAGCACACTCATATGGGTGAAAGGAAGAGGTATAGAGTACAGAAATCTTCTTGGCTTGTTAACAAATATTGATATTTCTAACAATAATTTATCTGGAGGGATACCCAGAGAAATTACAAATCTAGATGGATTGATTTATTTGAACTTGTCCAAGAATCAATTTACTGGCCAAATTCCACCAAGTATTGGCAATATGAGATCATTAGAATCTATTGATTTCTCAAGGAATCGACTTTCCGAAGATATCCCTCCATCCTTGTCAAACTTGAGCTTTCTCAGCAAGCTAGACTTGTCTTATAATCTTTTGAAGGGAAAAATTCCAACAGGCACTCAATTGCAAAGCTTTGAAGCATCCAACTTTATTGGCAACGATCTATGCGGCCCACCACTTCCTGTCAACTGTAGTTCCAACGTGCAAATTCCTAATGACAATCACAATGGAAAAAAAAGTGATGACCATGAAATGAATTGGTTTTTTGTGAGTATGGCATTGGGATTTATTGTGGGATTCTGGGTTGTGGTTGCTCCTTTGTTTATTTATAGATCGTGGAGGTATGCCTATTTTAATTTTCTTGATGACATGTGGTACAAAATGCAATCTTTTTTTAGGCTGTAAAATTGTAATGTAGTATTACTATTTTATATGTTGTGGGAAATAAAATTATGATTGTAATACTAAGAGTAACCTCTTAGTTTGAGACTTAAGAAATATATCTAATCATTATTATTAGAGTAAACACCCTTTTTAGTCCATGTCAATATCTACGAAGTCCTTTTTAGTCCCTGGCAATAAAAAAGGACCAAATTGGTCCCTGAAATTACAAAAAAAGGGTCATGTTAGTCCTTATGTCAACTCCCAAATATGTAGAGTGGCCCTTTTCTTGTACTTTCAGGGACCAATTTGGTCCTTTTTTATTTCCAGGGATTGAAAAGGACTTCGTAGATATTGTCAGGAACTAAAAATGATGTTTACTCTTGTTATTATCCATGTAATCCTCCCCAAATAATAGCACCATCTTAAACTTTTGTCATGTAAGTATTTCAGTGAAACATCAGAAGGTGGAAATTTCTTAATTTCAAGAATGGAATTTTGTGATAACAATGTATTGAAAAGGTTCAACATGGGTATGGAAGTTGGATTCGCTGGTGGCTTTTGGGGAGTTTGTGTAGTACTTTTCTTGAACAAGACATGGAAGCATGCTTATTTCAAATTTATTGATAATATGAAAAACTAACATTTTATGAGGGTGATCTTAAGGTTCAACTTGAATATCATCAAGTGTCCCCTTGAGTCTGTCCTTGGGTCTGGCATACATCATTTTTTGTCTCACTTTTGATGTATCCGGAGACCTATATGTCACAAATAAGAAAATAAAGATACGACACAAAACAAACACCTTCCATTTACATTGTTGTGTGGTAAAAGTGAAAGCAGAGGAGAATTTGAATATGACAGAAGGGGAAATGATAGAATGAGAGAAAAATAAGGGGACAAGTGTAACATCCCCGTCTCGAGCCGGTTCAATTAACATACATATGATACAAACAGAAACATCGAAAGACTTAACTTACGAAAATACGAGCTAACTTTTTCCTTTTTCACTAATCTTAATTCACATGATATCTCACATTGCATACTTCTCCTAATTTAATTTGTATTTGACGAAGATGAAAATCCGGCAGAGTAACCTCTGTAAATTGGACAACTGCGGATTTGATAATCCCACTCTCAAAGGTTCCTGATAAACAGTTTATACTATATATGATTTCAGAAATATCAGATATCTATATAGGACTATCTACCCATCCATGGGTGCATGTATAACTGGCTCTGTGCCACTATGTCTAATAGCATAATATTTCAGCACATGCACATATCTGAATACACAAATATACATGCATCAAATATGAACACATGTACAAAACATATACGGACCATATATTGTATAATGGATCAAACATCATGATCCCAAAATGAATAGAACACTATACAACAATACATATTCTCCAAAAATAACATCTATAATAAATAGTAGCGTCCGACCACCTAGAACTCCATATCCTCATACTAGTACCTCTAGCCACGGGTAGTGTCCGTGTCCCGTGAGGGCTCTTCAATTAACTGTGTTCCTGAAATCATATCCCCAAACGGGGTTAGAGACGAATCTCTAGTAAGCTCTAGGTTTATGGAAAACTCTCCATACCCTGGGCTCACTTCCTGCATGACAGTCAGATACATAATATACAAAACATCATATAAGCAAATAGCATAGCTGAACAAGTATATACACATATCTTATCAAAGATGCACGCAGTATTTCCCAAGGGAGGACTCCAAGCGGAAATCAACACACGTAACAAATATCATAACTAAACTGAGCATATATACATATCTTATCAGAGATGCAAGTAGTATTTCCCAAGGGAAGACCCCAAGCGGAAATCAACGCACATAAATTCATTTACGAAAATCAACACAATAATCACATCAAAACAAATCCTATCATATCAAAGATGTACGTAGTCATTCCCGAGGGAGCACCCCAAGCGGAAATCAATGTACGTGTTCCCAAGGCAGGACCCCAAGTGGAACCAGAACATATCAGAGGTGTACATAGTCAGTCCCGAGGGAGGACCCCAAGCAGACATCAATGCACATGTTCTCAAGGGAGGACCGCAAGCGGAACCAAAAACATATTAAAGTTGTACACAATCAGTCCCTAGGTAGGACCCCAAGCAGACATCAGTGCACAAGGATCAATGGTTAAAGATCACTACAGAAATCACATCAAAACAAAACATATCATATTAAACACATCAAAACATATCAAATTAAACACATCAAAACATATCACATCACATCATCATATAGTTCTATATGAATGCATCTATATCATATATCTCATACATATCATACAACCTGACCACAGTCCGTACACTATGGCGGAACACAAAGTAGGAGCGAATCCCATAAACATAGAACTTACATCTCAAAGCTGTATAGATGGCCTACCCAAAAACCGAGTTACCAAGCCTCCTCTGATGTAGGATCCTCAACAAGACTCATAGGCGCACCTAGAATAGGGAATCCATACAAATATCAATAAAATGGTTCAAAGCCAAGTAGTTAACCAGACACACCATTTATTGATTTTATCTCTTACTTATCAAATATTTCTTAACTATTCATACATACGGTACTGTTCATCTCTACAGTACTATTCATGTATATGTCACTATTCACGTATACGGTACTATTCATATACGTCACTATTCAAAAATACGGTATCTCAAATTTTCCAAATACATTTTCACCGTTAAAATCTTCATCTGAACACTTTTCTCAACAGGAGCCAAGCCTCAATCAAGCTCTAACATGCTCAATCAAACCAAACTTTCAAAATGGAAAATTAAATCAAATGTTCCTCAAAACTCAAAGAAAATTAGGATTTCTCAACATAAACTTACTTAGAACGAAGGGGAAAGCTTACTTCAAGCTCCCATAGCTTCAAGCTCCTTCAAAATCTCTTCTTTCAAAGAAATCCGAGTTTTAGACGAAGAAGATCTCTCTCTACAGTGAAACCCATCCAGAAATACTGGTACCAATGGATTCCTCTCGAAATTTCTCACAAGTTTGGCATTGGAACGAAGTTATTTGGAGGTCTCTAGCTCAAGTTATGAATTTTGGAAGATTTTCCATCATTTTCTCCTATTTTGTTTCCTTTCCTTCTGTGTCGATCCGTCCCTGCCCGTGGAAGACGCGGATTTATAATTGTGAATAGCGACTCACTTAGTCACTTAAGTCAGTTCATTATACCAGCGGGTATAAGCTCATCTATCTACATACCTCCATTCGTTACCAAACTTTATCCACTAGACTAGAATATTTTTCTAGTCATATTTCTAACTTTACTTTCACTTTTCGGGTAACTTTATTTACCCGCATTTTTATCCCTTAACTTTCATTTTAACTCATTTTTCACCAAAGGTAACTTTATTTCTTTTTCTTTGTAATTATCCTTCAATATTAAGTCCATAATAAATGTGAGGGTCATTATATTCACCCACCTTTTAAGGATTTTGCCCCCAAAATCACACATATAACATAACACATACCTAACGTCAAACTCAGGATAAAGCTGGAGAATATTGATGCTTCCCGGCAAGTATACCGATCGCACAAGTAATATAATGATAAGAAAAGTTCATCTCCACAGGGATTGTGATCGTATATCAAATAATCGTCCTTTCAAGAATAGAAGAGTTCAAATAGTTTGTGACAAGTATTGTCGATTTGTGTAAAAGTGAGAACTAAAAATAAAGACTTGTTTTTGTCTTTTTGTTATGAGAAATAAAACAATAAAAATGAGAATTGATTTGTAAGAAAATATGAGAAAAACATTGTAGCTAGAGTGCACTCACCTTATGATCCTCACCTCTTACTTTGGATTGATTTACAATATTCAATTATATAATTACTCAGATAAATTATTATATAAAAATATTAATAGTTAACCCTCAATTCCTTGCAAGGTTAACCCTTTAATCCCAATTGGAACCCCAATTCCTTGCAATGTTCCTCATGGCATTAAGCAATGAACTCAATAATTTAAGCATCTGCAATTAAATATACATCTATTCCTAGCATGCATAATAATTGTTATCTTACCCCATTTCAAGATGAAAACCCCAATATTCCTATCTAGGGTTCTAACCCTCAAACTATCTTCAACTATCAGATTGATCAGTTCTAATAAAGAAAATATAAAATACGCACAGGGTAGAGATAAAGATAATTTATATAAACGAGTAAAAGTAAACCAATCTGTCGTAACAAGGATTCTCATAGGGTTTGTGACCCTAACTACAATAAAAATAAGTAGTCAACCATAATCATGGCTAAAAATACAATATTCAATAAAAACATAAAATAAAAGAGAAGATGAAGAAGAACTTGATCTCTGGAATCCTCTTGGAGCACCACCGTCGTCTCACTTCAATAGAATAGGTCTGGATCCTCATTTTGTAAAAGACATCCTATTTATATGCCTCCTTTTCTTCTTCCAAAAATACCCTCGTACAACACGGTGTAATTTTCCCCCAAACCGGCGCAGGTGTGGCGCTAGTCGTGAAAGTTCGAAATGGCCTTGAAGGCCGATGCATGCAAGAGGGAAAAACAAAATTTTTCTTTGCGGAATATACATGCACATCAAGATCATGCTTTAAGAAAGCATGATGTTACCTTGTTCGTGAAATCACCAGATGATCAAGGCCGGTCTGAAGGGTTCAGACCCTCTAACGTTGATCCACACCACCCACTCGTTTAGGTGCAAGAACTCCTTCTTGTGAAGCCACCGGATGATCACCACAAAGAGGCTTGCTAGGCGCTCTATGTGTGAAGATGGAGGCTAGGTGAAAGTGTTTGAAAAAGTGAAGCTCTCAATGTGAAAGCTTCACAAGTGGCGCATGAGAGAGGAGAGAATATGCTAGGTTTTCAGAAAAACCCTTGGAGGAACAACTACCACATAGGTGCATAAGAGGAGAGTATTTAAAATAAAATACCAATCATATTTTTCTCCTAAAAATCTGATCATTAGGCGCCAGATTGGAGAGAGAGAAGTGGAGCTGTTTTATTTCAAAAATTGC